AAAAAAAAAAAAAAAGAATTTTATTTGCAGAGAACTTATGGGAATGAGGCAGGGAAATATAGAGAGACCAGAGATATTTGCCATCATTTGGTAGCAGTGTTTAATAAAAGTAGAACTTGTGGTTGTAAAGAGTGCTTATTAAATTCTTCATTTACACTACCTAATTAATTCTAGCATTTTAAATTAACAGTGAAACTGGTCCCTGCTGTACCATTCCATAGATGCAGCATATTTCCTCCATCCAGGTTTAATTGGCTGCACTACAAGTCAGAGAAGGAAAGAGAGAGGGCTGTGGGGAGGTGGGAAAGGAGTGGGAATCCTCTAACAGATGACCCTCCAAGGCCTGCATTTGGGGTTAAGTCATAACACAGGCTGGAAGAGGTGAGGTATCACACCAGGCAAGTGGAAACGCTGCAGCTGGTGGTTTAGAAGTCAGGGTAAATGACATCATAGGTATTTTTGTTGCCCTGATTTTTAACATCCCAGTCCCCCCTTTTCCTCCAACACCTCCTACAGATCTCAATGCATCTGGATCCTGTGAAGTTTACAAGAAGTTCTAAATATCCAGTGGGAGGGGTGAGGGGTGGGAGGTGGCAACAAGATAAGAATTCAGATTAAGATTTCCCAGCCCTAAACCACTCCCTAAGAGATTGTAATGGATCCCCTTAGAAGGTTCTGGTTTATAAAGCAAGGATCCCTTGAGAGAAACAAAGAGTAAGTGACTGTGTTGGTGGTGTTGCTGGAGGGTTGTCAATGAATTCTCCATCTGAGAACACCGAGGAACATAGACTTAAGGCTTATGATGCTGAGGACATAATTGCCACCATTTGTCAAACACTTGTTCTGTGTCGGGTACTTGCTAAGTCTGGGCCAGATACTAAGCACTGGACATACCTTATTTTATTTAGCATTCCAAACAATATTCATTTTCTTAGATGAGAAAACTGAAGCTTTAATGAGGTTAAGTATCTTCCCCAGGGCAGCACAGTATTAGCAGGTGGCGGAGCTGGAATTCATCTCTGGTTTCCAAAAGCATGATTTTATGTAGAAACACAAACAGGGTGCCCCTGCCTGTCTATGTTATATTTCAGACATCCGCTTAAACCTCATATCCCCCATAACCCAACACGACATCGTGTTCCTCTGAATAGAGGTTGGCGGCCACCCTCTGGAGAGTCTACCTAATGCACGATGGGTTTAAATGAGACTCATATGTATAAAGGCAGGCAAAGATAGCAATATTTATCATCCTCTAGGGATACAA